TTGACAATCATTTTATGTTAACACTTGCTGTAAATATTCTGCCCTTCCTTCTTGCTCCAGTTCATTGGCAAACTCTTTTATTTTACTCTGAGATGTCTGTCTAGCAAAGTGAGGTATAGGATTATAATCTGTCATCTGTCGTTTCTCAGTTGAATGCTTCCTGCCACTGGCATCTTTCTTGTATGAAGCTTTCTCAAATGTAATATCTTCATATAGTACTGGCTCGTCTAACTCATCTGTTCTGGGAACATGCCACTGTTGTAGAAGTTGGGCACATGTTAGATCATCTGGGACCTCAGACAGTTCCAACTGAATGTAATCGATAATCTGGAACAACAGTGCAGCAACATGCTTACAGCAACCTCCTTTTCCTGCCTTGCACAAACAATGACCATGAACGACTTCACCAGTTGCTTGATTGAGATGAACATAAACAAGATAGCTTTTTTGCTTCATCGCAACATGAACATTTGCTTTAACTAAGAATTTTTCATCACAACCCATTTTAACATTTGGTTTTACTTCTACATTGTTAACATATCTATCCTTGAACAGCCGGTAGCCTAATTTCTTGTGTCTATGAGCATTGTTATCCTGATCACCTGTTCCAGTTCCTACATGTCTTTGCAATAATTCATGTGTAAATGGTGGCAGCGACCTCAAATCTTTTGTCCATCTCTTTTCTGCATGAGCATACTGTGTTGCTTGGTCTGCAACCTTTGACGAGCAAGGTATGTCTTCCATTTTATACTCTCTAGTTTATTTTATTTAAAAATTTATATACAATTATACTATTTCACTTATTTACAAATTTATTAACTAAAAATTTGAGCCAGAAATATTAGACTAGGTTTAAAATGAAATTATTATAAAGACTCTATAAAGTGGCTTTAAATGCTTAACTAATTTTTAAATTTAAACAGCTAACTAAATTTTAAATTTTGTTCAACAATAAAATTATTGTGAACTTTATACTACTTTATCGATATACAGACAATACGGACTAAGACAATTATTATTTTCTTAAAAATATATATATTTTAGTGCTATTATTGATATTTACAACCTACTTGTTACGCGAAGACAGGGACCAAAACAGACCCAAAAGGAATGCAAAACCAAAGTAAATAGCAGTAATATCAAGTGACAGTACTTTCTGAATGCAGTTTTTGAAAAATATCTACACTTTAGCGCAAGAAGCTAGTACATTTTCGCGCCAAAACAGAGGCCATGTTTTAAAGAGCAGCAGATAAAATTCTCATCGCAATGTGTCAATTTCAACAAACAAAAAGACAATGCAGAAACGTTTATAAATACAACTAATAAGCGATCAGGACAGGTAAACTACAGATCTACAGCTGCAAGGCAAAATATTTTACTTACAGGTATTCAATACTGCTACTCACCTCTTGACTAAAAGAAACACAAGATTCGAAGCATATTTTCTTCGAATAGCGCTCATCCCTTCGGCCGCTTTAAATTCGTTTTTCTTCACAACGGCGACTCCGATTTCCTCACCATTTCTACAAAATGTAGACAGAGTGCCCTGTCCTAAAAGCATGATTAAGTTTTCATCTCGCGAAAGAAAACGTCATTAAAACCAGTAAATTCATCTTCCAAGCAAAATGGACACCTCACAGCCGCCATTTCACTTCGAAGCAAACACATACCCAACTACCAGCATGCATTGCGGCCCTAAGTCCTAAAAGGTGAAAGGCCCATTGTGGCTGTCTTTGCTCGCAAAGATATGCAAATGACTCTTTTGCTAATTTATCTAGACTTAAATTTTGAATCTCACAATCCAACAGGTGACTTCATAAACACATTGTTTTCAACCACATATAATCAAACCTACCAGAATTACTGACCATTCTGCTACATTGATTGATAACATATTTTTCAATTCCCTTGAACACGAGGTTTCCAGTGGCAATTTGCTGTGTGATTTGACTGATCATCTTCCAAATTTTTTGATTATTAATGATATCTCATGCTCCACATACCGTGGTGCCACTTACAAAAGAGATTATTCTCAAATAGATGAAGAAGGTTTGGTTGCTGAAGTTCACAGTATTGATTGGGATGAGACATTTGCATATGCACAAGATATTAATTCAATTTTTGAGATATTTCATACAAAGATTAAAGAAGTTATAGATAAATATGCTCCACTAAAGAAACTTTCCAAAAGAGAGTATAAATTACATGCAAAGCCTTGGGTAACAAAAAGGTATTAGAGTTTCCATTGCCGAAAAGAATAAGATTTATAAAAAATATTTAAAATTTAGAAACGATTACTATTTATTTAAATTCAGACATTATAGAAATAAGTTGAAGCATTTGTTACTCATTAGTAAAAAACAATATTATACTAATTATTTCAAATCCAACAATCACAACATCAAAGAAACGTGGAGAGGTATTAAGCAAATAATCAGCCTTAAGAAACAATCTTTCAAAGTACCTCATTGTATTGGAAATAGGCAGTTCAAAATTAACTGATAAGCAGCGCATTGTTAATGCCTTAATAATTATTTTGCATCCGTTGGTCCTGAGTTGGCTGCCAAAATTCCTAGTGCTAATTCAACATTTGATAAATTTATGACTACCCCTCTCAGAAATAGTTTTGTATTGTTTCCTGTTATAGCAAGTGAAATTGAGCAAGAAATTAATAACTTAAATGCTTCTAAATCAAATGGTCCTATCAGTATCCCCACTAAACTGCTTAAAATTTTAAGTAACCTTTTATCTGCACCATTGGCATTCCTATTCCATCGCCAACTATTTCGGACATTGAGTCAGCAGTGCGCCAGCGGATACCCCCGTAAAAGTCAATATATTTTAGGCAAAGAAAAATACATAGGAGTCAAACTAAAAACATCGAATTGACAAAAAGATATTTCGATTATTTTATTTGCTCAAATGGAGTAGTATTCCTACATCGCATACAAACAAAACTGTTGAAAAAAATAACAGTTAAAACCTTATTAATATTAAGTTTTTCGTTTCGAGATTCAGCTTCTGAACGCTTTACTTCTATAGACTTGTATACTAACTCGGCCGAAATCTGCTCGATTACCAAGTTTCCTTGTTCAATTTTTAAATTTCTGTGACTGCTATGTGATTTGCTCAAATGGAACACCAACCTTGAGGATCCTCGCTAGCTGCTCACAAAAATTGGGCACATAAAACATTGAAGAAGTTTTTCGTATTTACCATCAAATATCATGAATTTTCGTAGACACTTAGAATATTATGCGCTGTTAATATCTGGTCGCATCGCCGCAAATTTTAGTGTGTTTAAAAGCTAAATTGAAGGCGAAATATTACTCGCAGTAAGGTTGTACTTGGTACCAAAATGATCGCCACGATGTGAATTTTTCAACCCTGCAAACGCTTCTGGGATGCACGAAACACAATCCGTGCTGCCAGCGGTAGAAGTTGAGCCATTTGGCTGTTGCCAAACTAAAAGGTCAACCAAAGGTCAGCCGTATTAAATAACTTAAAACTCGACGAAATATTGTAATGTTTTCTGTGCTTAAAACCATTTATTTTGACAATAACGACTATTCGAGCGTCGAAATTAAAAATTTAACCCATAGGCGAAACACTTATGTGTTTCTATTAGAACTGGCTCGTTTATTTCCACTTGGTCATTTCAAAACATTGCAAAACATTGCACGTTACGCATTTCAGGGAGCTTCCGCTGGATAGCAGGATTGACATAAGACCGCAATAGTTGGCGATGCAACTATTCTTTTACTGTTGGTGATGTCCTTTCAAATGCAAACTAAAAGAACTGCTGATTGGTGCCTACTAAATCACATCACAAAATACCTTCTATATTTTTCCTTTTTTCCCCTTAATATTATTCCAAATATTTGAGCCATTTTTGTTTTTTTGTTTTCTTCATGTTTTTGTTGTCTGTGTAATTAAATTTATTAAGTGTTTCCATATCGATTACTGTCTTACTTTCCTAATCATAGTTTTTCTTGTGTCTCTTTAAACGCCACCTGTCTCGATTAGCCTTAGGTGGCCTTCACCCTCATTTGTAATTTTTTTATCTATAACAGAATGTATTTGTATCTTTTTGAGTGTAAATAGACTATTGTTGTTGTTGTTGTTGTCAAACATAAAAAATGTGTGTGGTGTGGCAGGTGCATGGATAAGGGGACTTTTGGGGACTAAGTTTTTCCTAGAGGGACATTCGGCTATATTAGGGACTATTGTCGGTAATTATGTCCCCATCAGGACATTTTCCTATATCGGGGACATCCAGGGAAAAACTTAGTCCTCAAAGGGACTATTTAGGTAGTGGTATGTTCGGAAACATTCATTTGATAACATGCCTTGAACGAGTAAGGTCCCATGTGTGGAAAGAAAGGTTTATTAAAATTATCTAACCCTTTAGCCAATGTTCATAAACTATCTACTCAAGAGAGACAGTCACACCTTATTTCTGCTAAGAAAATGCCTAATAGACTGATCGAAAAGCATCTGCTTTCATTTTCATGATGTACTCCATACAGTTAAGACACCTGTTTGGGCTTCTCGTTTCTGGCGGTACAAAATCAGGCAAAACTACCTTTTTGAAAAGGCTTCTCAGCTATGCCAATTTGTCGACTTAATTCCTACATGTCCTGACAAGATATGGATTTGATCCGGGATCTTTCCAACCGACATGCATTATGTCTATCAACCCACAGTATAAGAATGTGGGAACTTGTGTAAAATGTTCATTTGATCATGTCTGCTTGTATGAAGAGGATCTTCTGAAAGTATTGGCCAAGTGCAAACCAGAACTGAGAAAAGCTATTTTGAAAGCGGCTGAAGACGATTTATTCGAAGCGATAAGACAGTGTCTATTAAACGTTTGGTTTGAAACGTTTAAACTGAAACCGAATACAGCTAAAAAAGTTGCACCGTATTCCAAGCATATAAAGTTTGCGGCTGGCTGACAAATGAAATCCTATCGTAAAAAGAAAAACACGTCTAGTCCAAATAGGGGAGGGTTTCCTACCGTTTCTACTCACTTCAGTTTTGGAACAGTTGGCTAACTTTTTATAATGGAACACATCAAAAGATTGGTCCTTGTCCCTGAACATATGGTTGAACAGTGAAAGAAACCTCTTGCGGCGCCTTTGGAGACACAGGTCAACGAAATAGACTTGGACATGCAGGATATTATTCGACGACAGGATATACCAATAGATGAAAAGGCAAAGTTAGATTACCAGAATCTGCAACGCTGTTTAACCTTTTATGATAAACAAATGAATAAACCTCTCCGAGTAAACGTAACACACACCGCTCAAACTGAAGAACCTCAAGGAGAACAGCCCAGTGAAGAGACGGAACCCTCAGACAAGATTGAAACAGATATCATGGATAGTGTACCAGCTACTATGAAGTCAAGAGCTTGACAACTCATCAAAAAACTCAAGTCAAATAAAGATCTTATTGGTTGGAATGAACAAGGCCAGATGGTGTTCAAAGGAAGATCGGTTCCTAGCACAAATGTAGTTGATTTGGTGAATGATTCTCTACATCAAAGAAAGAATTTCAATCCTGACGGCTGGGAATTGTTTTCAAAAGTTCTCGGACATTAGAATGTACCTGAAGGTATTGTGAGAAACGAAAACAGTCTTGGAATTGTTCGCGAATATAAAACCAAAGGTATCACAGAAAATCTACCCACCACCCCTTGAGTGCAGCAAGAAAAGAGAAAAAATGCAGAGACAATATTAGTGGTCCATATAAATGGTTAAAATGATGTATTTCTTGTAAAAGAAAATTTTACCATAAATGTATTTTTAAACTAAATCTAGTGTTTGTACCACTTGTCTATAAAGTCACGCACAAGCTCATCATTCCTTCTTTGCTATCGGAAAACATATTTGCAATGGTTGACATTGTTGGAATATGTCTACATCGATGCAAAGCAAAGAATAATGAATATTGTCCACACACGTCTGATGATGGGGCTTGCAAAATTCTTCTGTTCCATGTAAATGTCCGCAATGCTTGTCCAAAAATTGCGTAAAGTTCCGACTGTAGTCCAGATTGATTTAATCCATGCGCCTGACCATAAGAATCCCAAAATTCCCCTTTGCCATCTCCTGCAAAGTAGATTTGCCACCCAATGTGATCCAGGTTTATCAGAAGGATCCGTGTTAAGTATATACCCTCCAGGTCTCTTTCGTATTTCGAGAGGTAAATGATCTGACAGTAAAACGTCCGTAAATACCGTCTTTGTAAATGATTCGGTTCGCATCAATTTCGATAAGACTTTGAAATTCACCAAGTACCACAATATTTATAGCTGTCTCCAAATAGTCCGTATGTTGTGACCTCGAAAAGTGCCTAGAAAAAGATTTTCATTAAGCATGTCCTAGATCTGAAATACGTTTACGTGAACTAACACTTTCGAACACGCTGATTTCAAATCCGAAAAGTTCCCACTCCGTAGACCCGCAGTTTTTTCACAAAATGCTATTTTATCTTCACTAATTTCACAACAAATTTTTTCATTGTTCAACGACACGGATCGATGACGATACACGATTATGTCACTCAAAAGGACCAATTTCTATTAACCATTCTTCCTTTAAACAAAAGACCGGTTTTGCTCGAATCATTCTGAGTTGTGCAATCTTATGCGTGTTGGACGTAAACAACATATCTTGTCTACAACTTTGGGAAGGTACAGATAATTCCTTCTAAAATCCTTAGTTCTGGATCTATCTCTATAAAATCACAAGGACGTTAATGTCAAAATGTTTTATACAAAGATATAAAACGGTAATCTATATGTAATGGATCAGCATTGAAATTTCCAACACGGTTTCCAAGACGTAATTCAAGAGATAACTTATCATTGCATTTGAACTATTACATGAGTTGGTGTTATACTGTGGGATAAGCGAGTATTATTGGAAAGAGGGCTTCTATATACGTCGAAATCATCAAATAAACAGCTCATGCACACATTTCTCCACTTCGTGGTAAGTTTACAGAGCATATTTTATACTTTGTGACTGATCTTTGTCTTTGATGTGAACATTTATTCTTATAGTTTAAGGTTGTTTAAGATTGATCCTGTCGTAAGTCTTCTACCTGCAACCATTCGACAATATTTCGTTTTAGCGTTGTCTTTGCCGTTACGTTGGCTTTGCGTTACTTTTGTGTTAAATATCTTGATCGCGTTAAAAGAGTTATTTTTCAGGCCAGTGACATAGCTAAAAGACTTGATATTAATGTCCTTGTGATTTTATAGAGATATCTCTAGAACTGAGGATTTTAGAAAGCGTTATCTGTACCTTCTCAAAGTTGTAGACAAGATATGTTGTTTACGTCCAACACGCATAGGATTGCATAACTCAAAATGATTCGAGCAAAACCGATCTTTTGTTAGAAGGAAGAATGTTTAATAGAAATTGGTCCTTTTGAGTGACATAATCGTGTATCGTCATCGATCCGTATCGTTGAACAATGAAAAAAATTGTTGTGAAGTTAGTGAAGATGAAATAGCATTTTGTGAAAAAACTGCGGGTCTACGGAGTGGGAACTTTTCGGATTTGAACTGAGCGTGTTCGAAAGTGTTAGTTCCCGCAAAAATATTTCAGATCTAAGACATGCTTAATGAAAGTGAACGATATCGGGTCACAACACACGGACTACATGGTTGTTCAACTTTCGGAAAGCGAAAAAATAC